AATGTAGTATTGCAAGAAGATTATTTCTAAAAATTTTAGAAGAGAAACAAAAATAATTAATTAAAGGAGACACAGCTCTGGTCTTTAATACCCAAACAGCTGTCCTCTGTCAAATCACAACCAACCAGAAACTGACTTGGAAATTGGTAGAGTTTGAAACTGGCAAAGTTTTAAATTGGCAGGTAATACTGAAGTGGTTCATAAAAATGAAATTCTCCTATAAGACACTCCCCAAACACTAAGTGCCCACAAAATTTACAGAGCACTTCAGGGTTATATAGTAAAGACATTATATGAAACTAAGACATTATATGAAACTATTCGCCCAAGAAGATTATGCACTGACTTCATAAGTCAGATACTTGAACGAGTGGATATTTGTTTTATCATATATATCTACACACCATATGTATATCTACATATGTGTGTGTGTATATACATACATATATATATAAATTAGACACCAGTAGGAGGAAAAAATAAATCACTGAAATTTGCCTCTTACAACAAGAGGTTTTATGAAAAGAATCCCATGATCTCAAAAGAAAAATAGAGTTACATTGCATAAAACACAATTCCATTGCATAAAAATCAGTTTTAGCACTAAACTGCATAAAGTAAAAACCATGTGAAAAGTGAAAGCCAAATGTTAAAAAAGAGTTTGTTCTACCACTGTGGTATAGGCCCAATAGTCATATGAATTGAAGGTACCAATGAATAGAGTTCAGAACCCAAATCTTGAGTTATTAAAACCAACTTGAGACCCAAAAAAATTGTTACCAAACTTTCAAAAGGCAGGAAAGTCTCAAATTTAAAGTTTATCAAAATTTGATGCTATTTTCCCTAACAATGGGGCTGCCCAGCCCAGTCTCTTGTTTCTATTATTTTAGTATAAGTAACAAGAAATTTTTTGTTTTGCAACTTTGGGAGGCTAGCAGTTTCTCTCAAATTTCCCTTCTTTAAATGTTAAAACCACCTAAACAAAATTCACCGTAAGTTCCAAATTACCCACTAAACCAAAAAAGACTAACAAAGATTCAAAAGTAAAGAGAATAAAGGGGCAGAGTTATTCATTACTGGCATAACATAAACATCCTTACTTAAAAGCATTTAGTAATGTTTCTTCACCGATGAGGAAAGTATTTCTAGGAATTTGCTCATTTTAACAAAATTCTCTTATAAATTGGATGTCTCACAGAGTCAGTGGTAAAGATTTAACCTACATTTGATTAGCATTAAATAAGATGTTTCAAATTAGCTATTTTTCAAACAAACCAAAACACTGTTCCTCATGATTTTCATTTCCAGATATAGTAACTAACAAGGTAGCTGTAATGCACTGTGTGCATGATAATGCAATAGACAAGGATTTCATGTACTTATTGTATCTGTCAGTATATAATTTCTGGAATAAAGTCCACATAATTTACAACCACTGGGATATGTGTCTAAGGTATATGAAGCAGACATTCCATAAAACTGTGCACAACAATAGACTAGGAAATGGAAATTTTTTAGAATAAAATTAACTACTACTATCATTAATGAGAATAGAAGTTGTTTAAAAATATACTTTGAAGTAAAATCAAAGAAACTAATCCTGGTCACAGGATAATACCATGAAACAATTCCACTGGAGGTTCAAAGTTCAACTTCCTTTACTACCAGGAAAATACAAAGTTCAAATTCAAGCGAAAAGTCATCTCTTTGCAGAAAATAACTACGACAATGTCGTAGTTAAGAAACAGGTATCAATTTGGGCCAAGAATCAGGTGGAGTAGGAGAGTGCTGAATGCTAAATACTACATCAATAGTAAGAATTCAGTAAGAAATTTCCTATTTCTCTTACAAAACTCTCAGATTAGGAACCATATTTTAAAGAATTAATTTCAAATCTCCATTAAAGATTAGAACAGAAGAAAATATATAAAACCCAAGACAAAGCTAAAGACAGACAGTGCCATAAAACCAGTGTTAAGTCATCTGGGTGATGGTACTGGCTTTGGCTGAGCTCCCTTTAACACCTACGAGATGAAAGGAGAAATCAAGAAAGAAACAGCACTGGGTCAGTCACAGCCTACAGTCTGGCTCATTCTCCCACCATGGACTTTGTCAGAAGACAATATGAGGTCACTCCCTACTAATAATACATCTTACAGAAATGGCTGAATCCACTCTTGCATTGTCGTAGTTTCTAAATGGCATGTTATAAATACAGTTTAATAAAGTTAAGGTTAACAAATAAGATTAATAATAAATATTGTAATAAGATTTAATAAAGTTAAATCAAGAGAAGAGACAAGATACACTTTAAAATGCCTTATTACATTGAAAAATCCATTTCTCACAAAGTTTAGATAAAAAGCAGGGGGGAAAGACCCCAATGTGAATTGCAAATCTTTTAAAAATTCCCTTACTCTGTATTTTCATACTTCAAGTTTAATCCTAACAGGATAGGATCTTTGTCTCCTCTGGAGATAATATATATGCTGTTTTAATCACACTCAAAGTTTTACAAATAACCTCTTCAAGTTCTTAGTTTCTATCTAACATTTAAAGTCACGTGCTTAAACTACAAAAGCTTGCTATTTTACAGTAAATGTTTTTTATGTAAAGCCATTTAAGAAAGCAATTTAATACAATGCCTAACATAAGGCTAGGGCTCCCCAGATGGCTCAGTGGTAAACGAATCCATCTGCCAATGCAGGAGACACAGGAGACTTGCGTTCTATCCTAGGTTAGGAAGATCCCCTGCAGGAGGAAATGGCAACTAACTCTAGTATTCTTGCCTGGGAAATCCCATGGACAGAGGAGTCTGATGGGCTACAGTCCATGGAGTTGCAAAGAGTTGGCCACGACTTAGCAACTAAACAACAACAACAAAGGCTATTAAGGAAATTTTAAAAACCCACTCTTGTTTAAAAGAAATCAACAACTTGCTTAGAAAGAAGAATATTAATCTCAGATGACATATAGTGGTATCCCTTAGAAATTAATGAAGCATAGTGTATCTTTAAAAAATAAGTATACTGTTTGGAACTTTATCATTAGTGATTATAAAATGTGTCATGCCCAGTACACTTTATTTTGGCTAAACATTTAAGACAAGACAGCATGCAAGAGGGAAAATCTTTATTACTACAAAAATGTCAACTACATTTTGGGGTATGTGGTTTTTTTTTTTAAGTTAATTAACATCATTGAATACACTCTAAACTTCTGAATTATTTTCATAAATTTTATATAAAGGCTGAGAAATGAATAACATGTGGACTAGACTAGACTAATATCAATGGAAGACACAATTTCCCAGTCTTCTAAAAGGATCACAATAACTTGAGATTATAACAACTTCCTCTTGAAACATTTTTTAAACTATTTCAGAAAATAAGTAACACTTTTATATATACCCCTAATTAATCAAAACAAAACACAAAACAATGATGCAAATGTTCCCAATATTACCTGATTCATGGATATGAACTAAATGTCACTTAGACCAATAATACTGTATATATAGTATCTTGCATATTACTGAGAGTGCCTGACTGGCTGAATTACTGTCTCCAATGCCTTTCCTCTGCCTTTCACCAATGGTTCTAGAAGTTTGAATTAATAATTTTATTTTTAACTCAAAAAACTGAGATGTTTAAAGTCCGCCAAAGTTTTTTTAATTAACAATAAAAAGAAAATCTCACATAAACCCGTAAGTTTAAAATGAATGTCATAGAACAGACCATGTGAAGAAAATCTTAATTAAGATTGCACGGACATGTGAGTGTGTGTGTACACATCCACAATACACACACATATGGATACTGCACCACAAACCATCAGTTTCCATTAAGCCTAAGGAATACTAAAAAGATATTCCCAAAGTGAACTGCTGAGAAAAATGAGGGAGACATGTTAAATTTTTCTCCAGAATTTTCCAGCATTTTGCAGTGTAGGGATGGACTGACTCCCCCCCCCGCCCAAGTCATTATTAAGCAGACCATTATAATTTGATTCACTGTATATTCAGTAGAACACACTCAGAAAAAAAAATAGTTTAATTTCTAGTAACGTTACAGTCATAATTCTCTCCCCTTCAAATACCTCAGGAAACAGAACCACATTCCACCAATGCTGAAATGACCAGCGATGTTATCGACAACAAATACAATGAGGGCTATTACCTCCTATCAGATTTCACTGTACGCTGTACGCAGTCTGATCAATGCTTTGAAACTGGCAAGTATGCCATAAACGTAACGAGCTTTGCAGCAGATTTTAGTAGCATAAAAGATACCAGGGCAACGGGGGCCTTTGCAACCGACCACTTCAACAAAATTCCGTAAAATCAAAGATTTACAAAAGATTTTACTCCGGGAGGCACCTAGGTCTTTCTTCGAAACCCAGACTACTCAACAGCTCCCTGGAAAAATACACCATTCTGCCACAAATCGCATATTGTACACCATCGGTACACAGACACCTGAACCACCTGAGCTGACGAGAGTTAGGCTGTCAGCTCCGAGGTGTTGCTAGTGTATAAGAAACACTGAAGCAGCTACGCTCTCTCAGGTACACTAGGTGGTAACCTTGGCACCAAGTGCCTTAGTAATAAAGATCTCTTCCTCTATAAGAAAATGCATGAAGACTGTTCCAAAGAATATGCTACAATCCTGAGGACCTCTTCCACAAAGGAGAACCGAAAAACGCTGGTTTTTCCTCTAGTCAAAAACTGCGGCGGGAGATGGAGCTACGAACTAAGAAAACCCAGCTTCTGGTGGCAATCCTGTGACAGTTAACAGAGCAGCCCGCCCAAGCCAGAGCTCAGTTTTCCTACCCGCAAAATGGGAATCGGCACCGCCAGCCCTCCCCATTGACAAGGAGTCCGGCACACCCCGGAGGTTCAGGATTACCCTTGATGACAAGCGGTGGGGTGGGGCTGCCGCTCCCCAGACGCCCACCGCGGACTGCCCCCACTCCGCGACAGAAAGACAGGGCCGGCGTACCTGGCTTCACAGTCTTGAGACGGATGGGCTCGCGGAAGTGGCGGATGACAGCCAGGGTGTCCCGGTTGGTGAGCCCGCTGACAGGCGTCCCGTTCACCTCCAGCAGCACATCCCCGGGGCTGGGCGCCTTGCCCGAGACGACGCAGCAGGTGCCCCCGCCGGGCTCTTCGCGGAGCCGCCCCAGGTAGGGGAACTCGCCGCGCTCCGCACCTCCCCGGATCTCGGCGCCCAAGTCGCCCGGGGCCCCGGCCCAGGACACCGCGCACTCCTGCACCTTGCTGAGCCAGTGCTTCTTCTTCTTCAACGTCTTCGACATCACGAACCCCGCTGCACCATGGGGGAGACCCCGCGCGGGCGGCGGGGGCGCCGCTCTGGCCCCCTCTCAGCCTGGGGGCCCCGGGCGGCCCGCGCAACCCGGCGAGGGGGGCCTCGCCGCTCCGGCGTCCCCCTCGCCGACCACAGCCCGCCGGGGGCCGGGCCGCTCCGAACCCCGAGACGCCCCTCGGACACCTCTCCCAGCGGCGATCTCCGGGTCTGACCGGGCTCCGCGAGGGCCACCCGGGTTAGGCTAAAGAAAGGAGAAGGGGATTGTCCCCGGGCGGCTCCAGAGGGGTTTCGGGCGGGGTCACAGCCGACGGCTGGCCCCCGGGCTCCGCGCGGGAGCGGCGGGAAAGGCAGAAGCAGGGGGGCGGGGAGGTGAAGCGGGAGAGCCGGAACCGGGAAAAATCCGTCGGGGGCGCGCAAAAGCGCGCGTAGACCCGTCGCAGGATCGATCGTGGCCGCTGCGGAGCTGGATCGCAGAGACCAACGCCTGCCCAAGCTGCCAGGAAACTGCCGCTTTCAAACCCGCCGCAACCTCCTCCTCCTCCCTCTTCCCTTCCCCCCGCCCTCGCCCATCCCTCATCCAGAGCCCCGCCCCCTCCCGCCGCGCGGCGCCCGGCGCGCTGCCGTCACGGGCCAGGCGCTTGGGAAAGAGCCCAAGCACTCGACACTCTCGCTGGGGATTGGCCCTCGGAGGAAAGGGGGCGGATCCCAGACGAGAACGCTAACCACCGATTGGCTGATGAAAGTGAAGGAGGCGGGCACTAGGATGACTGAAGTTTAAAGAGGGTGGAAGAAAGTTTGGAGAGTCAGGCAGGGCGAGAAGGAGGGGCAGGGGAGTGGGACAGGCTCCAGAACGCAGGGCTGAGAGGCCCTCGGTGCGGCGGCCGGAGCAAGGGGAAAACTCGGATCGAAGAACTGCCGAACTGCCCGAGGTGGAGGCATGGCTGGCGGGCTGGGTGGAGTAGGGGCGGAGCCTGGGCGCCTATCTTCTTGGGGTACTGAGACTAGCTGGGGTACTTTGGAGGGAAGGCGTCGTGCTGAGTCCGAGGACAGAGGTGGCAGAGCCTCGGGGTAGCCAGTTACAGCCGACCACTTAAAGTGAGTCAACGTTTCTCGTTCGTTCATTTCTTCAGAGCCAACGTTTCTCGTTCTTTCATTTCTTCAGCAAAAGTTATCCTTTGAGGCAAAGACTCCGGAGTCTGGTTGATGGAAGGTAAAACAGAGTCCTGCATACCGCTGTGTGACCTGAAATTGGACAGCCTCTTTGAGCCACAGCATCTTCGGCTGATAAGGGGAGATAATTATACCCTCCCAAGTTGTTCTACATGAGTTTGAGCAAGCTCCAGGAGTTGGTGATGGACAGGGAAGCCTGGCGTGCTGCAGTCCGTGGGGTCGCTAAGAGTCGGACACGACTGAGCGACTGAACTGAAGTTGTAAAGATTACATGAAGTACCTATAAAATATCAGTATAGGGCCTGGCACGGAGTAGGTACTTCTTACTATTTAGTTGCTGATGAAGAGGAGGATGATTTTATGTCAAACACTGTGCTAGAATACTGGGATTCAAGAGTGAGGAAAACGCAAGTCCTGTTCTCAAGGAGATCACAGTCTAGTAGGAGAGACTGCTGGGGGTGGGAAGGCGAGAAGGCGGAGCGGGTGGGGGTGGGGGTGGGGGGAGGAAGATGGGCTATAATGTGGATTAGGAACCTCAGCAAACCCGGGCTGGCATCCTGGCATGCTACTTACTTGCTATCTGACCTTGGCCAAATCTCAGTTTCAAGTTCACTCACCTGTAAAGGATGTGGAGAGAGAACTAATAGTGAATAAAGGACATGTTAGGCCCGTCCAGCACTAATTTTTCACAACCTCTTCTTAAGCTTTCTCTCCTTCCTGATTTGGCTCACACTCTCCCCTGTCTTTGTATTTAAAACAATCCTATCCATCCTCAGCCCAAATGCCATCTCTTCCAGGTCACCTTGTCCTCAGGTGGAAAGTGTTTCCTCTGAGCTAGGATACTTCCACTTTTGCAGTGAGACATTTGTCTCCTGTCTTCCTTTAATGGTTGGGGAAAGCCCTTATTGAAACTATGAATAACTCCACAATCTCACCACATCTCAGACTAGCCCAAGCTTCAACAGCTGCAGTAATTTTGTTCACACCATTATATCAGTCAGGGCCTCCACAGGAAACAAATGGTACTTTACAAAGATATGGGCAAGGTGTGGGAAACCACAAGGGAAATGTGGAACCCTGAGGCTACAAGCTGCTCCATCTGTAGAAAGGAAGGGGAAGGAACAGTACCAAAACTCTTCACAGAAAGGTCAGCCTGACAGGAGCCTGTGACCTTCAATCAGAGAGGCAGTCAGCCTATGTAATCACCCAAGGGCAAAGCCAGAGGATTTCTCTCTCATTCACCTCTCCCCTCCATCCTCCTACTGGTACATCCCAGTAGACAGATCCTACCAGGAGCCAGAGAGCAGGAAAGCCTTTTGAAAGTCCCAATCAGTCAATCAGACAGAGAAGAGGAAGCAGCACATCCAGAGAGAAAAAGGGAAAATAACCAGCAGAGAAATCATGTGGATTGCTCAGATTTACACAGATCTGAGACATAGCTGGAGTATTTTTTTCTGAACTACTACCTACACTAACAGATTCCTGGATGAAGTCTTAATAATCTCCACTTGATTTATTTTTGCAGCAATTCTGGGAAGACATCTTTTCTTGCTCAGATTGTATCTATCAGGATATCTTTAGCCACAACGAATAAAGTATCTAATAGTAACTTAAAGCATGGAGTTATTTATTACATCTTTAACATGAGGTTCAAATGAAAGTAGTCTTGGGCTTAGTTCAGCAGCACAGTTACATCATTGAGGACCCAAGCTCTTTTTGTGCCTGCTCTCTAACATCATATTCATGTTGGGTTTCATCTCCAGGCTTCTCACCTCTAGATTGCAATGTGGCTGCCATAGCTCCAGATATCACATCTCAGAGGTCAAGCAGAAAGGGAAGTTTGTACAAGCAGGAAGGGAAGGAAAGGCACTGCTGCTACCATTTTTCTGAAGGAGAAAAATCTTTCCCAGACTGCCCTCACACCTGCCATAGAATCTTCCTTATTAGCCATAAAATGGTCACATGCCCACTGCAGACCAGTCACTGACAAGAAGATGGAATTGCCATGGTTCAGTGACATCATGAGTCACTCTGAGCAAAATAGGGGTTCTGTTTCTTAAGGAGAAAGGGTGATTGATTGTTCAGTACATGCCCAACAGTGTCTGCCACATGCCTCAACCACAAATAAGTTATATTGACCCTTAACAGAAAACTGCAGTAATTAGGAGCTTGAGTTCTGGAGTCAGACTGGAAATCTCAGCTTTTCTACTTACTGGCTCTGAGATCTTGAGTAAATTTTTGTCTAACCTTGGTTTCCTCATCCACAAAATAGGTATAATAACAGTGCTCACCTAACTGAGTTGTGAGAACTGATTAGAGCTATTTGAGTCAAGCAAGCACTTAACATATGGTCATATAAACAAACACTCAAGTTATTTTAGTTTGTGCTAAATAGTAATATCTATGACAAGGCCAAAAGCATTGCTAAATCACCTTTATAACTCTCTATTTGATTCACCCCTCTTAAAAAGCTTAGATTCAGTTTTAAAATAGTCTAGAAATAAGCTGCAAACCCCAGTGAATTAATTCTGGTAGGACACTAGTCTGGAAATTACTGCATAATTAAAGAAGTCACATTGCAAATGTCTCTCTCTAAAATGGCACCTAACCAAATAGTCAGATTATATCCATATTGATCATTGTTTCCCAAACCTAATGGTTGGCTTAATAGTTGTGATTTCCATTGGGGAATATTATAAGCCAAACAATATGGAATCTGGCTTAACAAAAACAAATGATACAGTAGAATATGATGATCTCCAAGGTTTCTTGGGGCTACCTCTATCCATCTAATCTATGGAAACAAACATAGATGTATGTCAATATGCAGAACTCATGTGTTGGGTCCCATGATGGCTGCAGTGGCTCCAAATAACAACATCCAATGACAGGAAGGAAGTGTGTCTCCTTTCCTCATTTCCTTTTAGCAGATCAAGGAAACCTTTCCCCAAAGGCCCCAGTAATAGTTTTCCTCCCTCTCATTGGTTGGACTTGCCCAGATGCCCTTTCCTGAATCAAAGAGGCAAAGGGTAATGAAATACTTTTCTCCAGTTTCCCCTTCTAGTGCTCAGAGAGGAATCCAGTGTCTTGTAAACTGCATGGCTGCATAGTTTGGCAGGGAAGGGGTCTCTTAGAAACCTGAAGAGGAGAGATTGCTTGATTTGCTCCTAACATATATTACGTATGGGCTTCCCTGGTGGTTCAGACAGTGAAGAATATGCCTGACAATGCAGGAGACCTGAGTACCCTCCCTGGGTCAGGAAGATCTGCTGGAGAAGGGAATGGCTACCCACTCCAGTGTTCTTGCCTGGAGAATTCTATGGACAGAGGAGCCTGGAGGGCTACAGTCCATGGGGTCAGACATGACTGAGCACACACACACACACAGTATACTACATACACTCACATACATGTTTTTTGACAAGGTGGGAAGTTTATTTTGTTGTATAATATTGTTGAGTGTTCCTAATGAAAGTTAAGTATTCCCTAACTTAACACTTTCACTTAAGCAGAAAACTTCAGACGGGCAAGTGTAAATTCCCAAATTCCCTCAAATGACCCAGGCTTACTTACTCCATTGTACAGAGATGCATCATATTGAGGTCTGTGTGCCAACAACTCTAGGGGCATCTCTCCCCTGAATAGTTCCCCTGGAGCAGTGCATGGCTGTGTGCCAGAGCAAAGCAAGTGTAGAGAGAACTTTTTATTTACTTTTACATTCTATTTCTTTCATGGAAACCTGAATCTCTAATAACAGTAAATCAAATCATCATATTTATGATGAAGTCATTCTCAAGTATTAAGGTGGCAGAGCACGGG